TAATGAATTATAAAAGGGGGTTCGTTATTTGAAAACATAAATATCGTTTAAACGTGCAGTTGTTCTTTATCAACAATGGGCTCCAGCCTTCTTCTGTAAGCTTTTAATACAATTTGACTTTCTCCGGTAATTATAGTGGCGAGAAAATGTATGTTTTTCTCTGTATAATACATTTCCATTGGCATTTCGAGTTAATTGCCAATGAAAAAGTGTCGCGCGTAGCAAGTTTAAATGGGCGCAACTTATCACAGCGACCTTTTGCACCACTTTTCACGTTCTATACGTACACACAGTGTCGGTTAAATACCAGTTTGTCCTGAACGCGAGGAGAGCTAGCCGGCAGAACATAACCGACGTAGGTGGCACAACACGCAACGAAATATTATTCGAACGTTTCGTGAACGTGGCTCGAGTAGATAGTGTGGGTCTCAGCGTTTTTAAGGGAAAGGCGTGCGGCCGTTTTCAACTTTCCCTTATCACTCCATATTAAATTGCAACGCGGCGTGTCCGCGGCGAATCGCGAGCGATCTTTGAAAAATTGAAATTTACTTTGCACGGATAAGAAACACGTAAACGTATTTTTTAAAAAATATCTAGTCTACGTTATAAACAAAGCTCCATGTTGTAATTATTTTATGACATACTTTTATGCAATTGAAAAATTTTCTTCTGAAATGCAGAACGTGACGAGATTATTATGTTTTATTCAAACTCAAAGTTGCAAATGCCTTCAAGATGCCCAGTTCATGGTTGGATCAATACTTATGTGCCGGCATATAAGTCACAGAAAATAATATGAACCAAGCGATACGATAAGCCGCGTGTACCGAGACCTGTTATGTACGGCTCGATCTCTGACGGTGAAGCGTTCAAAAATTAGTTATTACCATACGTGGCACGGAATTGCCATAAATCTGCCGATTTCAATCTCGTTTAGAACATTAATTTGCTGCCTCGCGTACGTTTCGTAGAACGTTACTCTATTACAAATGGAATTGAGGAAAGATTGCAATACGTGGATGCAATTAATAAGTTCAGTTCA